TTTCGGGTGGTGCGGTTGTTTGGACTAATTTTTAATTAGCATCATTAGAAAGGCTATTAAATTTTCTTTTAGTGTGCAAAATTTTGTTTTATTTCACGTGGTAGAACACATTCAAAAGTAGAAAAAACCTGAGCAAGAACACGCTCGCGCTCATATAGCACCCGTGTAAGTCGTCTCTCATTCGCAACGACTAGCAACAGCATTGCTCGCCGCGCGTCTTGATAAATTAAAACATTTCTAATAAAACACAAGATATATACATTTATATTTTGAATAATCATATATTTATATGTATATGTATTAATAATAACTATATTTTTATGTAATTAAATATATATTATTCATATATTGCACATGTATATTATATGATTTAATCATCATTAATCATCATTAATAATTAACTAATTAATTATTACTTGTTAATTAAGTATTAATTATTAATTATTAGTTAATATTATTTAATAATTATCACTAAATAAATAAAAAATAGGTTGATAAAAAATATACATAATAATAGTATTACTAAATACACTTAATAATAGGATTACTATTCATGCTACAGCAATGTATACAAATGCAAGTATGGTATACTAAGTTAGTCATAAATATATTAAATAATATCTTGAAGTTTTTTTTGAATTAAATAATATATATTATTATTTAAATTAAAGATTATATATTCAAAATATATTCTATTGAATAGAATTGCTCGCACGCATAAACCACACATAAGATAACAAAATACAGATAGAATAAAATTAATATAATTTTCAAATTTAACTAATCACAAAGTTTTTAATAATTATTAAATAATTAATGTTTTTTTTTAATTTTTGCGTGGTCTACACCTTTGTACCAGTCGATTTTGCACTTTTCTTATATTTTAGTGTCAATTTGATTTGATTAGTATATAATTTAGTTGTTACCATAATACAATATATAATTATAATGCCGCGAAATTCTAAATATCGTTTTAATTGAGGATGATACACAATAGTACAGTAGTTCAACAATTATTATTAGTATTTATAGGTAGAGATATTCTATTTAATATATTTTATATATTATTCGATTTATAAAAAAACTTCAAGATATTATTTAATATATTTTCAGACTAACTTAGTATACTTGCAATTCTATACATTGCTATAGCATGAATAGAAATCATATACCGATATACTATTATTATGTATATTTTTTATCAACCTATTTTTTATTTATTTAGTGATAATTATTAAATAATATTAACTAATAATTAATAATTAATACTTAATTAACAAGTAATAATTAATTAGTTAATTATTAATGATGATTAATGATGATTAAATCATATAATATACATGTGCAATATATGAATAATATATATTTAATTACATAAAAATATAGTTATTATTATACATATACATATAAATATATGATTATTCAAAATATAAATGTATATATCTTGTGTTTTATTAGAAATGTTTTAATTTATCAAGACGCGCGGCGAGCAATGCTGTTGCTAGTCGTTGCGAATGAGAGACGACTTACACGGGTGCTATATGAGCGCGAGCGTGTTCTTGCTCAGGTTTTTTCTACTTTTGAATGTGTTCTACCACGTGAAATAAAACAAAATTTTGCACACTAAAAGAAAATTTAATAGCCTTTCTAATGATGCTAATTAAAAATTAGTCCAAACAACCGCACCACCCGAAAATTCAAAACAAAAAATTATTTTCACTTTTTCTCGCACTAACAAATAATTTTTTTGCATTATTTGTTATGAACAACATAGATAAGATCAGTATAAATAGAATGACGTTAACATTTTTTCGATATCTCTCATATTTCCGACAAAAAGTGAGTTTGAAAAAAGGGGCCACTTTCACATGTTTTCACTGATATCTTGGCCAAATGATGAGCTACGGATTTGAAATTTGGTATATGGGATTTTCTCGAAAATACCTATAAAATGGCATCAAAATTATTTAAATACCAGGGTGGGGCCAATTCTGTATGGAAACACGCCCATACCCTTTCACAAAAAAAAAGCCGAATGATGACACACAACCGTGTCGAAACGTATAAATAAATAGTTATTTATTTGTTTCTTTTATTTCGACGATTGGCGCAAATTCACACTCAAGGATATATATATATATATATATATATATACTCGTATATACACCTAAGGCTGTTTTTACACGGTCTTTTTGTACACGGTTTTGATATAACACGGTTTGAAATTATTTATTATTTTTTAATTTTTATTTTTATTGAATAGAATATTTAATGTCCAAATATTAAATAGAATATTTACAAAAAATCCTTCATTTTTATTTATTATTATCGCGTATTATGTATCACGCAAAAAATCGTACTCACACTCATTTCATAGTGACCAGAACAACATCTCATCAGATGGATGATTTGTTTGTTCATTTAAACAAACAATATTCTAATATTCAGTTATTTTTTTATAATATATACAAAAACTTCTTTAATCGTTTATTTATGCGGGTAAATAACCATTATCTTTTAAATTTGTTAAAATCAGTTTGTTTCTAATATAATTTGTTTTTAAGAACATTGACAGAAAAACATACATAGTTCCGAAACGTTTATATTTTTGACTTACATACTTTAATTTCTTAAAAAAAAGAAAATGAAAATAAGTTAACGCACTTTTATTGAAAAAAATCGTTTTTAGTTTCATAAATGTATATAATCTATCATACAGGTAATTAATTCTGTTTTTTCTTAATACCCAGTTCTAAAAAACTTTTTAAAATAATTATAACATTTCGTTATATAGTCCACTCTTTATTTTATCATTTTTACTTTAAATATATTGTAATACTTTATTAATGTCAACTCTTTCACAATTTTATTTTAAAAAAAAAAATCCACTAATATCTATTTCTCTTAAGTATATTGTTTAAATCTTATCAAGATCATGTTTCTTGACAGATGTCCTGAAAATGGAACGTACCGAGTTCCGAAACGTCGACAGTAAATAAATAAAAAAAATGTTTTTAATAAACTGTTTTTTATTATCTTTGATTTCTTTGTTCGTAGCTCTACAATGTATAGTAAATAATTGTTGCTTCTCAAATCTAATATTTCAATTTTTTGTTAGATATTTTTACAGGTTTTCTGATCAACTCATTTTTTTCTTTAAAATATTACCGATAATCAATTAATAAGGATTTAAAATAAACTTAAAAAGCTTAATATTTTCTATTGATGTTAAAAGCGCACATATTCCAACAATAAAATCAAAAACATTCAAAAATTATATATATATATATATTTATATATATATATATATATATATATATATTATACATCATATATATATATATATATATATATAATATAATATATATAATTACATATTAAATAGAAAATATTATCAATAAGATAGAAAAAAAAAAAAACAAGCCAATTCGGTGAAAAAATCAGTAAAAGATCGCACTATTATATTAAAAATCTTATTTTTAATTCAAAACAATATGTATATAATATATATTTATTTTAATATCAATATATTTTGGTAAAATAAAAGCAGAAGAATATAATTTTAAAAAAAATACAGGTAGATTTAATTGCGAGTCCTCAATTCTTTTTTCATTTGTAGATTTTTAGATTTGTATAAGCGGTCGTGGGGCATGAGGATAAACAAACGAATACGCGGGGTATTGTATTCATACATGAAATACAAGCCAAAACTTACGTTCAACTCACACATACATGCAGAAACATTACGCAAACATAGACAAAGCATGTATACAGTTAAATCCATATCAAACAGTAATCTGAACTAGTATTAAACAAATGCAATATTTATAAACATATACCATCAATTTATAACCTTTTAACAATTTAAAATAATCGGATATGAAATAATACTGTAGATATGAAGATCTGAAATAATGTTTTCTACTGAATGAATGTGTGGTACCGTACAAGAACTTTATTATTGCCTAGGTTATAACATAATTCAAATTGGAGATTAGCTTTATATCTATTCTACGCATAAATATACCGTATTTTTAATATATAATTGAATATCGAATGACTTGTGCAACATATTCATAAATAAAATGCTAAATTTTTGTATGAATATTAGCCGAAGGAAAAGAGCGGGATTCACAAAATGGACGAGTCCAAGCCACTCATGCCGCAAATACAATCAACAATACAATACTAAACCAAGATAGTACTGATTATAAGTCGATAAAACAAAGGCCTACTCACATAATATTTAATTTGATTGAGATCTGAGTGTCCCAGTGATATATCCTCTAATTTTAACATCTAAACAATTAAATAGCAGTTGACAGATATAAACACAAACAATAAGCGCCATGCGCCAAACAACACTAGCTCCGCTTAACCGAAGTATGTTCCGAACCACAGAACAATACCAGATAGATGCGCCGCGTTTGGCGCTCTAAATTTTGGTAACTTATCGGACTACTCAATAGATGGCCGTCGCTACAAATCTTCGAAATTGCACAAAGACGAGTTTAGATTGCGTATTTAATACCAAACAAACTTTAATACCAAACAAACGAAAAGCATTCTGGCCAAATTAACTTAAACATGCCTTGACTGTAACTGAATAGATTATAAATTAAATATAATTCAAATATAAAGATTTTTTTTTGATAATCTTTATTAATTGAAATGTTACATTTTGAGTTTTGGCTTGATTTATTTTTAGTGCTACATCATATATATCTATAGATATTATTGAATTAAAATACAATAACAAACAACAATAAACAATATTTATTAAATATAACTATAAAATTTTTACAAAATGAATGACTAGAAATAGCCAAAACCCATATTATGATTTGAATAACGACGTGCTAAATGTGCATTCACAGGCAATATTGTTTCCATAAATTAAATAATCAGTCAATATATCTATTATAATGACAATATAATAATTTGTATTAAATTGAAATTTTTAATTTATAATCACTCATTTTTTGTGTTAAAATGTTGGTATGATGTTTATGTGAAATGTCAATTGTCGTAGTAGTTTACAGTTAAATATATTAATTTGTTCATCGAAAGTTGAATTAATTGATGAATACGTTTTATTATTAACTGTTTTGTGTAAAAATAAAATGTTGAAACCAAAGGCTCTAACCCAAGTACTGAGCCAAGCGAATAGTGGAGGGATAGAAATAACATTGTGAGTCTTCATATCATATTCACTATTTATGTTTTTAATAATACAGTATAATCAAATATTAGACTCTTAAATCGTGAAGGCGCATTATTAGCTTATGCCGGATATGGAGACAAAGATGCTAGGATTACAGCAGCAATCACAAGCAATATTTGGGCCGCATATGAAAAAAATGGCAAGAATGCATTTAAAGAAGATTGTTTACAAATGATATTTATAGAGTGCGCAGAAGGCAGAGTAGCCGTAATACAAGTATGTGAAAATAAATTTGTTCTTTCAATATTTATTTATAATATGTATAACTTAATTTGTAGGTTGCCAATCTGTTGCTATGCCTTTATGCTCGGCAAACTGTGGGCTTTGGTTTACTGAAAGAAAAAGCAAGTGCTCTTGTACAATATCTGGAAGAACCATTGAAATTAGTTGCGACATCGTAACTCTAATGAATTAGGTAAAATAAAGTGGCTATACTTGCTAATATATTTAGTTGTGGAATTCTACAATATTTGAATAATTTCTTACAGGAACGTAATTGTACATTTATTTGATAAGCAAGAATTTCTCAACACCAAATTCTATGTGGAATATTTTTGTTCAACAATATCAATTGTAAATACAATTAAAGATATTATTGATTTATATATATATTTTTAAAAGTTACAAAAGTCTAACATTATCCTTGTGATATGTGAATTATGTGATCCATGATAATGCTTGTGTAGAATTAAAATAAATTAATATAAGCATATATTTTAAATAAGACTATATAAATATCTAATTTACCAAAATAAACAGTTATTCAGTTATAAAGTTAATATTGAAATGTAATGAACAAAAGTATGAAAGAAGTAGATATAATAATAATACACAACACTTAAACAGAACTCAAATACCGGCTATATATAATGGTCTTGCTTAGTGCTATTTCATAGAAATTTTGCTGCGTGAAGTGAATTCTTTAGGAATATGTAATCAATTTTTTGACGTTAAAGTTTTGCAATGATAGAGTATAGAACATAGGTTATTTTAAACGTTGAAATTTACAAGAAAAATTAATGAATGTTTTTTATTCTGAAGCTCCTAAATATTAAGTGTTTTTTTTTTAATAAATTTTAAGAATTGATGTATATGACTAAGTGATACATTTCAAAAAATTTGTGAGTGTTCTCTGCCTACAAAGAAAACTGAATCCAGGTGTACATAATTATTCTAGTATGCAGTGGGTGAGTTTAGGGCAATTAGGTATATTGAATGAATGCGATTTCAAATATTTATATGTCGTTTTATAGATCTTATCAAGAAAATCTGATACACCAATTTTTAAGTTCCCACCTTATTAATTTCTTTAGACATCATTGAACATATGTAAGTGTAATGTAAATATTCTTCAAATTTCAAAATATCTATAAAATAGGGATTCTGTATTGCAAGTGCATAAATGAATCGTGCTATACATGAATTTATTATGTGTTTATATAATTTTTACATTTTATATAATTACTGTAAAACATAGTTTTTGTTAAACAAAGACTAGCAATATTGAATAAAATGAATAATTATTTTTTATGGCATAGATATGTATTTCAAAAGTAAATCAAAGTACTAATGAATATTTGCCAATAAAGCAACTTTAATTTATAATAATAGAGCACAGAATTGTTGTGAAAATTAAGTAATTTCTGCTAAAAGCATGATTCATACTTAAAGAAATTCGAATTGGATTATCGCATTGTTAATTACCTTTTTGTAAATCTAGCAACAACTGCTAGAAACAATTATTAATCAACTTTCTTCATTTGATGGTTGATTTGATATAATATGTAATAATTATATAATTATTTAATTGACCTTATTTTTTATAACTTCTCATGGGGTAAATTACAGCAATGGGCAAAAAAATGAAAATATTTTTTTTAGCATAACTTCATTTTTCAGAGGTTTCTGAACATTTTGGCATACTTATTAGACTCTTACTAATGGTCGGTCCAGCCGTTTCCGAGATACCAAGCAAAGGGTGCAAAAATGAAAACTCTGTTTTTGCGAGAACCGGGCATCCGATTCAAAATATTCAAAAAAACGTTCAATTCGTCGCAATGATGGGGAGAAGCGGTGATTAGTTTTTGACAAAGACAGGTCCAGCCGTTACTGAGGCATGGAGCAAAAAAAAGCAGAAAATAGAAACCGAGTTTTTAAGAGAACGGAACGAGGTATCCGGTTTGAATGATCTAAACAACACTTTGCTTGTGTTGGCAAAATAATTGTTGTAATTTACATTCTAAAGGTCTAAAGTATATACCTTAATAAATAATTTTAACTTTTTAATTCAGTTTATATAATTCTTATAAATATTAGAAAATGTAACAGTATTATAATAATCTATTTGAAAACATGTAATAATTCTCGATCATGTAGATGTAATATTTCGTTACGGTACGGTACGGGAATTCCAGCAATTTGCCTTGAGGCCGCAATGTTTTAGTATGTTCTATAAAGACCATACCATAGTCAAAAAAATATTCATAAAAACATAAAAATCGCCCAAAAAATTTTTTTTCAACGGTTCTGTATATCTCTGTCCGAAAGCAGTATCATTCCCAAACAATATCTTTCGAACAGTTTTTGATTTTTTAAAATCGTTTCAGGATTGTGGACGAAAAGTTTTACACATTGTTGTACAAAGAAACGGCTTGGCCGATCGTCGCACAAAACTAAGAAACTATAATCCATATCGAGATACATCGAATGGTTTTTAAATGTTTGAAATCGGTTCAGGCGTTTTTGAGCAAAAGTCGATGAAAGGTCTAATTTTACAAACGTCAAAAAAAATACTAATTTTTTCAAACTTTGACGAATTTTTAAATTTAACCGACTTGTCGTAGGGCCGTAATATTTCAATATTATCTTTAACATCATGGTATCTACAGTAAAAAAAAATCATAAAAATCGTCGAAAAAAAAATTCAACAGTTTTTTACAAAAGAAATTGTGCCAACAAATCTTTACCAAAACTAACAGGTCGATTCCCGAACAATATCTTTCGGTTTTTTAATTTTCAAGATCGATTCAGAATTGCAAGCGTGGACAAACAAATTTTTCACTTTTCTGTTATTTGCAATCGGCGCTGGCCGATCGTCGCGCAAAACTGACAAACGATTGTCAATTCGGCAGTTTTTGAAAAAAATATGTTCACATACACGTAGATTCAGAATGGCTTGAAACGTCGAGAAAACATAAAATTAGCAAATCTGATTTTTTGATGAAAACTAACTTCTCCTGTTGTCATCACGAAACTGCTCTTAGACATTACACTTCATGAAGTAAGGATCTAGGAACCACTAGAATCTATGGTATTGTACTCTCATTGGTGTCATTCAATCTCATTTTTTCCATGGAAGTCTATGAGGGACTTGCCTCCCAAATAGGCTAGTGGCGTTTCAAGCAACTCTCCTACTTAAGGAGCACAACTAGTGTGAAATTTTCAAAAAATCGAATTTTCAATTTTTCCATATTTCGATAGGTTATAGTTTTAAAAATAACATACTAAAATTTTAAATCGATATCTTAAATAGTTTTGAGTCACAGCCATTTAAAGAGTATATACATAGTATTATAGTGTTACGATCATTTTATCTTTGAACGCGTTTTAGCGATTACTCAAAAACAAATGATCCGATCACTATCGAATTTTTTTACACGTTCTATATATAGTCCTCCGTAAAATGAACTATCGATTTTTTGATCGACGACCAAAACGACCAAAATTTTGGGTAAAATTCGACTTTTTTTAAAAAAAACGCCGTCATTTTATCAATTTTTGATTTTTTTTCTTTATCGTAGTTTATTTTACAGACAATATTATCTAGTTTAACGAGATTTTTTTTTAATTTCATCCACGTTTTGTCGCGCCGTTGGAGATCGACGATAACTTAAAAAATATATAATTTTTTTCTTCAAAAATTTACTATTTATTCTTAAAACATGTATAAATATATTCCTAGTATGTAGTAGTTTTATTCCTAGTATGTAGTTTTTTTAATATAAATTCCCAAAAATCACCTTTTTTTAGGCGGTTACACTAGTTGTGCCCTTAACACCTTTTACGCTATCGCCATCGCGTTGTGCACTAAAATGTAGGCACACCAAGAGAGCATGCTTCGCATATTACAAACACTGCACCGATTTCAAACATTTAAAAGTCCTTCGATGAAACTCGATAAGGACACCTGTTGATTAGTTTTTGCGACGATCGCCCGAGCCGTTTTTTTTAACAATTAGCAGATAAGTGTAAAAACTTTCGTCCACGTTTTAGCGCATTACATTCTACGAGGTCTGTTCAAAAAGTACCCGGAATTTTCGTTTTTCAAAAAAATATTATTTATTCGTCTACATTAATGTGGTCCCTTTAAAGTAGTCCCCCCAGATATAATACACTTATGCCATTTTTCCAATTTTCGAAGCACCCTTGATATTCACTTTTGATATGTCCTTGAGCACTCTCAGCGATTTTCTTCAATCGAGGAAAAACCGCCGTCCTTTCATGGGTCTCTTCAACTTGGTAATAGGAAAAGTCACACGGAGCCATATCTGGTGTGAATTTTTGCCTTGCACACTTTATTTCATTTTTACGCCAAAATTTAATACAAATCTTTGGCTTTTCAATTCTTCCATTGTAAAAATCGCCGAGCTCAGAAAAACACGCGAACCTTAGCGACTACCACA